GTCTCAGATCCACCTGGCTTTGTACAGACAACTATTCTCCAAACAAAACAGGATATAACATTTGTACTGTGAAGAAACAGAAAGTGTTTCCTGCCTTAAAAAGAATTTATAACAACTATGCAAAGCCTCTATAGTATGGATAAAACCAGGATATCACAGATCTGAGAATTGTGGCTCATCATAAGAGTTGACTGACAAAATAACAAATTGATTTTTAATTAAAGTTTGTATATGAGTGTGAACCTATGATGTACCTGGAATGTACCACCCTGACACATTAGGGATATAAATCTTTGTTTGAGTGAGCTACTGAAATTTCAAGACCATTTTCTTCCACTTCAATGAAGTGCTTGAAGACTGACCAATTTATGAGATCATGAAAAATTAAAATGAAGAAAAACTGCCATTTCTAGATGTCCTAGTCATCTACAAACCAGATCAACAATTGGGTCACACCGTTTACAGAAAACCTACACACACAGATAGATACCTACATAAAAACTCCATCACCCAAGTCAAAAAGCAGCACAATTAAAGCCCTGGAAGACCATGCAAAAAGAATCTGCGAACCCCACCTCCCCCAAGATGAACTGAACCACCTAAACTGGACTTTACAGGCCAATGGATACTCCAGCTCAGACATCAGAAGAGCTGCAAGATCGAGAACAAGCCACGAGACTAAAGATTACCCAGAGGGAAAACATTAAACTCTACAATTATAACAGTAAATAAAAAACAAAACTCAAACACAGGGGAACTCCAGCCAGAAAACAATCAGGAATACCTGGTCACCTCTTAACAAGGTAATTTCCCAGGCAGTAACAAGCCACACCTAAAAACTGTCAGGCCATCAAATGCTAATCAAGGTGCCCAATTGAAACATTCACACTTAGGTCCAACAGACAAGAGTTCTTTCTCCCATCCTGAACCTTCCACAGATATATAATCCCAATTTTCCAGTTTCCAACAAACCTCACAACCTCTGAGGACACCTGCCACAGATGCAGGCGAAACGTCAGGACAGAATACTTTTAGAACATGGCCATACAACCAGAAAACCTACAACAATCCAATTTATGAGATCATTCATAGGCTGGAATTTAGTCTGTGAAAAACTGTCCACCAGATGTTTTTCCACAGAAAAATGTCTTTTTCTGGGCAAAAATTCTGATTTTATACAGAAAATAATGTATTATTTTTCTGAGCAAGGAGAAGGTTTCCTATTCATAGAGTCATACTTTCTGTGCAAAATTTACTGTACAGAAAATTATGTTTCAAGGAGCAAAATAATCCACGTGCTTATAACCACATTGAAAAAAGTCTCAAAAAAGAAGAATCTTTGTGAAAAACTCATTTTAGATGATACACGGACTTTTAGTGTCCCTTAATTCTTTAGAAGTGTTATTCCATTGTTATTCAATTAACTCTGCAAACTTAAAACAGCAATATGTTCTAGAAGCTTAATATATTTCAGATTTTAGCAGCTTTTCAAAATCAAGGCAAACCAGTTCATATGAATAGCAAATCTTGTTAGCCTTGTTGTGCTTCATGGGTCCAAACTGTGGCAGTATTACTCACTAGCTGTCCCCTGCCACGTGTTGCTGTGGCCCACATGGGGGTTCTATGTGGGAGGTTTGGCCCAATTCTATCATTGGTGGGGTTCAGAATGCTCTGTGATTGTAGGTGAACTATAAATGCCAGCAACTACAACTCCCAAATGTCAAGATTCTATTTCCCTCAAACTCCACCAGTGTTCACATTTGGGCATACTGAGTATTTGTGTAGAGTTTGGTTCAGATCCATCATTGAGTCCAAAGTCATCTTTGGATGTAGGTGAACTACAACTCCAAAACTAAAGGACACTGCCCACCAAACCCTTCCAGTATTTTCTGTTGGTCATGGGAGAACTGTGTGCCAAGTTTGGTTCAATTCCGTCATTGGTGGGGTTCAGAATGTTCTTTGATTGTATGTGAACAATAAATCCCAACAACTACAACTCCAAAATGACAAAATCAATGTTTTTTTGAGTGAAGGACATACATTGGGTTGTTAGGTGTCTTGTGTCCAAATTTAGTGTCAATTCGTCCAATAGTTTTTGAGTTCTGTTAATCCCACAAACGAACATTACATTTTTATTTATATAGATTATACATCCTTGCTGATACAATCTCTTTACCACCATCCCTCCTCCAGTACTAAGGCAAGGCAAAAGGATTTGGGAGTTCTGTCTCCTGCTGTGAATGCTGAGTGTTTTGTGTCTACATACCAATGAAACTTCCAGTTTTCAGTAAAAATAATAATGGAAGAATATGGTCTGATGAAACATGATAAATGATAGTGAGCACCATGGGGAATATAAAAGCAACAGACTGAGTCACTATAACATTAACAGCCCAAAGCTCCACTTTTCACAGCACATTTTACTTCTGGAGTCTTGACTTCAGTGCATTGTGAATTATTCTGATTTTACTCGAGTGCAAGCGAGATCAAAGCCTGCTTTCTCTTCTCCCCAAGCCAGGCAGTTTAATTAGGCCTTTAGGGACACATAGAGGTAACTCATGCCTATTATATTTGCAAAAAAAAATGCCCTGCAAACATATTTATGTACTCAACAAATGCAATCAATCAGCTTCTGCTTTCACCCTTTCCTTCTTAAATGGTTCTAACTTTGTATTTGTGTCTGCAACATTTCAAGAATGCACAATATCCCAAACATTTCTCTTAATACAGTTAAATATTTTGGGAGGGAGAGGGGATAAAATATGATGGGCCAGAAAGTCACTTGAGATCACATTATTATCAGGCAAGAGCACAAGTAGAGCGGTGCAGGATTGAATCAAGGTCTAATTCCACTGTTCCCATTGTACCCACCCAGAAATTTGAGGGATTGTTATAAGCAAAACATACCTGTAACATCAATGTCCACTTCTACAAATGATATCCATGCTCCCCAACTACTAGTACCAAAAGCAATATATAGACATCATCAGCTATGGATTTATATAGGTTTATTTTCATGAATTTACTTAATTTCCCTGTAGAGCAATTCCGATTAAATTGGAAACAATTAGAAACAATTATCACACCATGTGACAGCGATTTCCATTTTTAAAATTTATGTTATGTGAAGTACTTTCAGATTCTTCACATATTTTAATTTTGAAAGAGATGGAGAACCATTTTCCATATTCATTTCCTTCACAAAAAGTCAAATCTGGATTGTGAGTACTTACTGTCCCTTAATTCTGGGGATGTGCATTTTTGGTTGTTAGTAACTGAATGCAATCCACCAAATTAATAATGTTTCAATGAAGCGGTGACCCAAACAAAGGGCTTCTAAGATACTGAAGATTGGCGATCTGGGAAAAGGCTCTCATGGTTGTGGAGTACAGTGAGTCAAGTGATTGCAGCAGAATGTCCTTGCATGCAAAGTGAACCAGCACCAACTATTGAAGCTTTTCCTCATTAAGTTGTTTTAGCTCTTTTCAAGTGTGTGCAATTATTTCAAATGCAATGAAGTATGATTTGTATAAAGGTAATATAATACTGTCAGTCTTTTCAACATCTTTCCTAAGGAGGGAAATGTTCCAAACAGCTAGTTCTAATACCTGACTCTTATAGTCACTGTTAAGAGTGGAAAGAATATTTATGAAAAAGGAAAACAGAATATTTATAAAAAATGATAAAGAGAATTATGGAAAATCCTGCTGAGTGGAATGCTGGGGAGATGAAAGGCTACAATTTGGGACTGATCCCATGAGGGAAAAAAATCATGAGCCCCCACCCCACCCCACCCCCCAAATGCCATTTTGCCCACAAAACTATATATTTCTTCCACTGAAATACTGTTAATTTAAGTTGGTTAAAATTGTTCTTCATATTAAATATTGTATTTTTTTTACTCTGTGAATTAGTTCACACAAACACTCTCCATCCATCTCCCACTGGCCTGGACCATGCCTGATATATACATTATATAAAATATAATATATAATATTATATATAAACATTTCTTGGGGCTCCGTGGCTGAAAAGGTTTGAGAACTCCTGATCTATGCAGTCAAAGGCTTTGTAATACTCTCTGTATAGAACAGGTTGACTTTCTTTTGAAATTCTTTTGTGCATTCCATTATCCAAATGTACATTTGTAATTTGATCCCTAGTGCCCCCTCCTTTCCTGAACCAGCTTAAATATAGTATTTAGCATTTCTTGCCCCATATATGGTAAAATCTTTCTTGTATAATTTTGAGTATCATTTTGATTGCATGGAAAATTAATGCAATGGTTTTAAAATATAAAGATATATAACTGAATATTAAAGTTAGAATTGTCCATTTTATTTCCCATTTCTATATATGATTGTGAAAACTGCAAAGTGAAGAAAACGGATAGTAGGAAAAATCAACTGATTTGAAATGTGGGTTGTTGTAGGTTTTTCCGGGCTATATGGCCATGTTCTGGAGGCAATTTTTCTCCTGACGTTTCGTCTGCCTTCAGGAGAAAAACTGCCTCCAGAACATGGCCATATAGCCCGAAAAAACCTACAACAACCCAGTGATTCCAGCCATGAAAGCCTTCGACAATACATTGATTTGAAATGTGCTTCTGGAGAAAAGGACTACTGATACCACGGGCTGATAAAAAGACAAATAAATAATGCAAATCAAGCCTGGAAACTCCCTAGAAGACAAGATGACTAAATTGAGACTCTTGTAATTTGGCCATATCAGGAGAAGATACAACTGACTAGAAAAGACAATAACAGTATGGTAAAAGTTAGCAGCAAAACAGAAAGTGCACATTATGGGTGGAGAGAATTAAATCAAGGAAGCCATTGACCTGAATCTGCAAGACCTGAGCAGTCCTGTTGATGATAGGGTGACTTGGGGTAGGTATACATCATAGTCAACTTGATGACAGTTATCAACAATAAAGTTCAATTTTTACAAAGGAGAAAAAGATCCTCTTGCAATTGCTAACAAATAGTCCAAAGACTTACCTATGTAGTTCCTGGAATCAGTCTCTTTTGACTTCTAAAAGTTTATATGTCCCATGTATTTTTATTGGTCAGGCGTGTCCTATAAGGAAAAGTTAATGCACAAGTCAATAAAATACAATTATATTAGATAAACCATTTATTAAGACACAACACCCCAATGAATATACTTAGCTTAATTGCATGTTTAATTTGGTGTACATTAGCACTAATGAAAAGCTTTTAGTGCCCACTGAAGCATTCCGTTCCCTGTAACCTGGCTCATCAACCTTTGTTTTAGTTCATATGCCTTCATAGAATAGATCCCAAACCACATTTTGACATTTGGCTAAAGCCTCATGCAAACATTATCATCCAATAAAAGAGAAACTAACGGAGACATGAAGAGATTTACAAATAATTCTCCATCTCAGTGAATAAGCTATAGACCCCTTGAGTGATGATGAGAAAGTTAATATTTTTCAGCCCCAGTTTCCCCATAAATTTGATTTAAAATAAATAACATACTCACATAGGACATGAGAGAGTACCACACATAAGAATTAGAAATACCAAAACTACCTTTCATGGTAACTTTATTAGCATCAATTACTGTGCGGTAACATTTTAGATGACTAAAATAACCCTACTATGAGTTTTGAATTAATTATTTAATGAAACACCAGTTTGTCATTTAAGGAGGGAGCACCTTACTCTGAACACTTGGGGTCACTCGGTCCAATGCTCTTGTCATGAGCTATACAAAACAATATATTTTTAAATTGAGGGGACTTGATAGACTGTGTCCTGATGTGCTACTTGACGATCATGCTAATAGTATAAGCTGGATTCCTCTTGAGCAGTTACAAATATATAACCAAATATATAACCACCATTGTTATGTAACTACACCGCAACTTCTAGTCTAATCCCAGCCTACACAGCAACAGCCACTATGATCAATAGGAGCCCATTTTCCTGTCACTCAGGAAGCAACCTACTAACATTCCAATTTTTTTTGTCTTGTCAGGAGCGACTTGAGAAACTGCAACTCGCTTCTGGTGTGAGAGAATTGGCCGTCTGCAAAGACATTTCCCAGGGAATGCCCAGATGTTTTGATGTTTCACCATCCTTGCGGGAGGCTTCTCTCATATCCCCGCATGGGGAGCTGGAGCTGACAGAGGGATCTCACCCATGCTCTCCCCGGATTCGAACCTGCAACCTGTCGGGCTTCGGTCCTGCCGGCACAGGGGTTTAACCCACTGCAACACCGGGGGTTCCTGTGCAACAGGCAAAATGCAACAGGCAAAAGCATGCCCTCTGTTACAATGTCCTCTCACGCTGGAGATCATTCATACAATGATGGTTGGTGGAAATTTCGGGTAGCTGCTTCCTGAGTGTTGGAGATTGGAGAACAGATCTCAATTGATCACTTCTACTCAAAAAGTGGGGACTTGGGGGACTTTTACTCTAAACTTTGTCATACACAGGGTCACAAAAGAATTCAAGTCACAGAAAGCTATATAATGCAGAACTGGTTCTTGGTCCTGGTCTTTTGTGGCCCCTACCAGTTGCAATAGGTTTCATATCAAAAATATGTAAGTGAAAATACGCTTGACACCCATTTGTTCCCCCATTTCTTTGTTTCCCAGCTCACTGCACTTGTCTGTTTTGGTTGAAACAACTCCCACCTATATGTTGCAGTGTTTAAGTGGCTCGTTGTGATTTCATTTCCTGAAATGTGTAATGCCACAAGCACAGAGAAGTCAACATTTAAAAGCAGGGTTACATTTTTCTTAGCGATGTAACTACTCCATATAAACCTATCATTAGGGAAATCAAGAGACTGATAGCATTCCAGCTCCTGCTGTGTATGCATGTGAGAGTGAATATAATTACATTGCTACCAGTCCTCAGAGGCTTGCGTAGGAGGTAAAAAATACTTCTCTCCCCCTTTTAACTCACAATATTTTGAAAGATTTATCATACTTCTGAGACGGAAGAAACTTCAGTGTGTCACCAAGCAGCAGTAAATGCTAAGCTAACAGAAATCACGGTGCTGGACAAAATTAGAGTGTTTACCCTCCATTCAGAAGCTATAGCTGAAGAGCATCTAGTTTCAAATGGGTTTTTAAAAATAAAGAACAACAATCTATATAAATAAAAATATAATGCTCATTTGTGGGATTAATATAACTCAAAAACTATTTGATGAATTGACATGAAATTTGGACACAATCAGGCCAACGAGTGACCATCACTCATGAAAACACTGAAAAATACAATTGAAGGAACTTAAGAAGCCAAAAAAAAAAAAAAAAAAAGCAAAGAGACGCTACAGCGCATGCACAAAAACAACTCCCCCGGCAAACAAAACATACAATAGCATATCCACACTCTCTTTCAGACTACAGCTCCCAGCATCCCCTAGACCAGGCCCTTTAGGAGAGGAGGATGATCCAAATGCACTACTTCCAAGCTGCAAGCTTTCTTCTCCTTGGATTTTTTTGAGAGTATCCCAGTCCCTGCATATTTCCAATTTCCTATTCCTGGACTGCAACTCCCAGCAATCTTTCAGATAGATGATAGATAGATAGATAGATAGATAGATAGATAGATAGATAGATAGATAGGATTAGAAAGAGGTAGGTAGGTAGGTAGGTAGATTGATCAGGAGGACTGCTGGGAGTTGCAGTGCAAGAATAGGTAGAGAAGGGAGAAAGCAAAAGGGAAAGAAAAAAGGGGAGGAAGGAAAGAGGAAGAGAAGGAAGGAAGGAAGGAAGGAAGGAAGGAAGGAAGGAAGGAGAGAATGAAAGAAAAAAGGGGGAAGGAAGGAATGAAGGAAGGAAGGAAAGAGGGAGAGAAGGAAGGAGAGAAAGAAAGGAGGAGAGAAAGAGGGAGGAAAGGTTGGCCACAGCAACGCGTGGTGGGTACAACTAGTTTGGTCCATAAAAGGAGAATAATAGGAATGAACAACTATTGGACTCAACTGCAACAGGCTGCTTCCCTTAGGTAAAAGTAAAGGTTTCCCTCAACATTATGTCTAGCCGATTCTGCCTCTGAGAAGTGGTGCTCATCTCCATTTCTAAGCTGAGGAGCCGGTGTTGTTTGTAGATACCTCCTAGGTCATGTGGCCGGCATAACGGCATGGAAAATCATTACCTTCCCGCTGGAATAGGAATTTGAACTACTAGGTTGGAAGAAGCTGGGGATATCAAGTTCAGCAATTCAGCAGTTTAACCCACTGCACCACCACTTTCCTTACAGGCTGGTAACAACACAAGATGGGCAGGAACTGACAAGGCCAGGCCTCAATGCTCCAGGCAGTATAGCCTCTAATGGGGGATTTTGGGAGACATAGTTTTAAAAAGTAACTTTTTAAAAATTCTGGGCATCTTCAGCTATCTGAAAGAATTAAACTTAACACCATTCCTTCTCATATTTGATTGTTATTTATTCAGACCCTTTCATGTCCTTTAATCCCCCTCTTCTGCGACCCTCTTCTATTGTGGTTGTACTTCTTGATTCAAGAAAAAAATAATGTTCTTAACTGTTTATTACGAACATCTTTGGAAGACTTCAAAGACTTATTTCAGTCATTCTTGGGCACTTTTGACGTATGAAACTAACATACAGAAATAGAAATCAGTGAGAATATTATATCAGTTTAATTATTTAAGATGATTTGCACATTTCTTCATACTTAAAATAGAAAGACTTGGAGATTTAGAATATTTGAATGCGGGAAGTATCAAAAATGAAATACATTTACATCAGGGGCCAGATCTTCTGTTGACTTAACACTTAAAATGTCTCAGTTTGAATCTCTTCATATCCAAACATGGTAAGTACTGAATTACAGATTGCAAAACACTTCTTTTCTGAATTAATGCCAGTTACCACATCACTCATATCCTAGTTTATAAGTCTAGAAATTTCAGTCAAAATTCATTCCTAAAAATCTGGATCAATTTATCCACTGGTCAATATAAGTACTGTATCTGAACTCGTGTGTATTTTAATTTTTTTTTAGAAATATGTTTTAATATGTATATATTTTTTAAAAAAATGCTTTTAGATAAATGTGTGTTTTAACAATGTTGTAACCCATCTTGAGCCATGAGGAGAGGCGGGCAATAAATAAATATTATTATTAAAAGGAACGGTCTATTTATTTATTTATTTACAGTATTTATATTCCGCCCTTCTCACCTCACAGGGGACTCAGGGCAGATTAAAATGCACATATACATGGCAAACATTCAATGCCATTTAGACATACAATATATATAGACAGACACACAGGCAATTTAATACTCCAGCTTTTCCAGCTTCATGAGGGTATGCTAAGTTCTGGCCACAGGGGGAGCTGCCGCTTCACCATCCACTTGTGATACCGAGTCCTTTGATGGAGTACTTCCTCATTCTTCTGCATGGCATTGTAAATTAGTTAAATTAGCCTCCTCACATAAAGTGGTACCTAATAGGCCTGGTTGATCAAGAAAAAATTTGGTTCTAAAATCGATTTGTAATTGGGGTGTTTTTTTGTTTCGATATTTAAAATAATTACAAAATTTTCCCCCTACAATCCGTTAATATTTACGAAAATTTCGTAAATATTAACGAATTGATTCGTTAAGATGGCGGACCCCCGCGCATGCGTAAAAACACTTCCGAAGCTTCGTTATTGGCACGGGGCCGATTCGTTAAGGATATAACGAATCGATTCGTTAAAATGGCGGACGCGATCGCGCATGCGCAAAAAGCGGCTTCCGAAACGTTGTTATTAAATACGATTCGATTCGATATTGAAAATAATAACGAATCGATTCGTTAAAGCGAATATTTTGTATTTTTTTAAGAATAAAAGACAGGTATTTTTAGAAAATAATCAAAAATGGAAAATTAACCCAAAACTGGCCCTGATATGGACCAAACACAGCCACGAGACAGGACAAACGAGAGCACACACCAACAGAAGAGTCTTTTCTTTTTTAGAATATTTTTTGTATTTTTTAGAATAAAAGAAAGGTATTTTTTAAAAAATATTCAAAAATGGAAAATGCACAAAATGCTCTCCCTGCCATGGAGGAAACACAGCCA